GTTCCATCCCTCCATCATCCCTGGGGCTCTGTGCTGGAGCTCTCCTGGGCTGCTCCCAGGATCCTAGCAGTCAGCCCAGGGATGGTGTGGCCACCTTAGCCCAGGAACGTCTGTTCCATCCGTGCTTGTCCCTGCCCCAGCCCTGTTTGCCCTCCCTTCTGCCACGTGTTTGGCAGAGCACTGCTTCCTCTGACCTCCCATGCTCAGAGCTTCCTTGGCTCCCGTGGACCTACTCTGAAAATGCCCCCAAACCCTTGGTGCAGTATTCAGGCTTGCTGGTGGCCATGCCAAGGCTCTGTGTAGCCTGGTGGGTACCAGCCCTGGTACTGCCCGTGCATGAAGCAGTGACGCGGTGTGTGGGAACCCTGTTGACCACACAGTGGAAAAATACAACTAGATTTTAGTAAAATGAACTGTTCTGATATGTGGGGACCTTGCTGAACACCTGGCAGATAAAACTGGACTAGACTTGGGTAAAAAGAAGCTGTTCTGAACAAGCCACACAGGATAACAGTTGATGAATGCATTGAAAAGATCAGGCTGGGAAACTGCATGGAATTGTATGCGAACGGATGCGACCAAGATAGTTGTGAGGAAGAATGTATCAAGAAAAACATAAATAAGCCTGTTTGGCTTTATAGTTCAGATACAGAAAACCACATAGAAGCAGCTCTTGGGGAGTCACACTCGGACACACGCACTCACACATACATTCACACACAACTTTTTGCTTTTGCTCCTGCTTCTACTTTGACAACAAAAAGCCTTGCTTTCAACTCAAACCAGAGGGTTCCATCTCCCTCGTCGCCACAGTGGTGTACCTGCAGTGCAGCAGGAGAGGACCGGCTCAGGGGCGTGCACCGTCTGACAGCAGTGAGGAGCTCCACCAGACTCTGGACATCTGGCTGCTTCTTGCTGCTCCAGAGCGTGTATAGGAACCGTTGCATCTGCCTCTCCCTTGCTTTCTTCTCCTGGTGAGACACAAAGAGTTGACATGGCTGTTGGGGAGGGATGGGTGAGTTTGGATGTAGAAGGGTCCCAGCTCTCCAGTCCTTAGGCTGTCAGGTGCTTTCCTGAGCTAACTGCTACCTTCTGTAAAGCTGTCCAGGCAGTCTCCGCTAGAGCATCGCCCATCACACCTGCAGAGGGTATGGTGCCTCTGGCAACCTGCTCTCCTTCCCCACGGCACCTCAGTCTTCCCCCTGAGAGGGACTGAGAACTGTCTGGGCCTTCTCAGAGAAGTCCTCCATGGCCTATCCCGTGCATCTCCTATATCCATTCAGCAGATGTTCTGGATGTTGCAGTCTAGATTCCCTCCTGCATTTTTGGACTGCTGCCACTCTGTTCTTGCAGCTCAGACAAGTCTCCATGGATCCTTCAGCCCTTGCCCCTACAGACCCATTTGCCAGCTGTGAAGAACACCCCAGTCAGTGGGACCCAGGCCAGCCCCATCAGCACATACGTGTTTCATTTTGAGCTGGATACACCTCCATCCGGAGACAAGCTTCTCTGTGCCACACTGGATGGTCAGCATCTTTGTGCAGAGAGTGTCCCCTTCCAGGGGCCAGCACGCCTCACTTGGGACCTGTGCGCAACAGCAAGTTTGGCTTCATGTTGATGGTTGCCATGTTTCAGATCAGTCACCACCTTAGGGGTCTGGGATGGGGTTGGACCGCGAGCACCCCCATGTCAACACATCCCCTAGCTAAACCCCGAGGGAGATTAGGAAGCCACAGCAGACTGCAGCGAGCTTCCCTGCTAACACAGAGCTGGCTGGCAGTAGGAGTCTGCTCAGCAGGCCTCTCCACCTCAGCTGGTCAGAGGCAGGAGCTGCTGTCCTTGGGTGTCATGGAGACGCAGCTTAAAGAGCATTATCTCCTGTGACAGGGTGTGGGAGCACTTGGACATGGGAAAAGTTCAGCTTTAGATAAGCTGGATTTGCACCAAGGCTTTGGGAGGCATTGAAAAGAGTTCAGGTTTTGGAGCTATGCTGGCTTCCAACACCGTTGTCCACATCCCTGCTCCGCCACGGCACAGGCAGGCACGGCGCCTTACCTCGCCCTTCTCCTGCCATGGGAGAAGTGTTAGGATGGTGTGAATGTCCTGTTCCCACACCAGGGTCCAGAAGTCCTCCATGGTCAACTTGTCAGGCCCCTGGACAGCCAGATACTCCCTGCTGGAGCTGCAGCCCTGAGTGGGGAAGGAGAACATCACTGTCCTGCTGGGGCGGGTGGCACAGGTATCCCATCAGCCCAGGTGCTGTGGGAGAGGCCAGGAAAAGAAGAGGAGCTCAGCAGATCAGAAGGTAATGAGAGAAGAGAGCGAGCGAAGTGAGGACAGCCCAGTTGGGCAGGTGAGGGAAGACACATCTTTGGTCCCCACAGTCCCCTCTTGTCCACACAGGACCACTGGCAGTGACCAGTGGAGCAGTGCAGGAACCAGGGGCATGGTGAGGAGCAGGGAGCATCTCCTGCTGTCTATGGGACCCAGGCACAGGGGTGGGCTTCGCTGCTGGGGGTACGACTCACCGGGACACGCCAGACCTGCAGGTGACCTGAGAAAGGACTCTGTTCCAGCAGGGAAAACTTCACTCTGGAGCGATCATCTGCAAAATACGTGGGACGTGAAGGGACTCAGGGCAGCCTTGTGCTCACACAGCTCCTGCAGACCAATTTCCAGACCCCGCACAGCCACACAAATCCAACCTCCATTCACCATTTCTCTGCAAAGGTGCCCCCGCTGCAGTGCTCTTCTCACGGACGTTAGTCCCCAAAAGACAGATCTCTATCCCAACCTCCTGGTCAAAGCAGATACTTACAGCGCAGGTTGCTCAGTGTCTTAGCCAATGGAGATTTGAATATCTCCAAGGATGGAGAGCCTGCAGATGCTCCCATGTCCCACCTCATGGGAATTCAGTTTTCCTTATACTGAGTTGGATTACTTTTCCAAATCATCCCCATTACCTCTTGCCCTTCCGTGAGGCACCTTCTTCTTAGAGACTGCATTTTCTTCATGCCCTCCCAGGAGGTTGTTGAAGACAGCAATAAGATCCCGCCTTTATCTTCCCTCCTCCAGGCTGAACAAACCCATCTATCCCAGTCCCGTGCACTATGTGCTCCACACCCAAAACACTCTGGTAGCCTTCTGGTGGGACTCACTACAGTGTGCCAAAATATTTTCTTGTGCCACGCTCTGGTCCAGCCTGGCTCCAGGCAGGTACAGGAAGGAAGAGGATGCAAAGTGTCACAGCACTTACATGGGAGGATGCTGGAAGTGGGTCGTGTCTGCTGGTTGCCTGAAGATGGTGTTGCAGAGCTGGCTTCTTCCTTGACAACCTCTAGAAGGGTCTGCCAGAGTGAAAGAGAGTGGAAGAAGCAGTGAGCATGGAAGGATCAGGAGGAACAGCAGGAACTGGACACTCCTGAGGACACCTGGCTTCAGCAGAGGGGAAGACAAAGCTGGACATGCGGAAGTCTTAGCACGGGTGCTATGTGACCACCTCTGGGGGTGCGCTGCCAGCTCTGCTCTGACCTCTCAGGAGATGGCTGCATCGTTTGGTAAGAGAATGGTGTTGATGTAGGTCCCTACCCTGCGTGGGGTCTAGGAAGCAGTGGGTTGTTGACACACTCTCATCCGTGCAGGATATGTGAGGGACCTATGTGCCTGGGGACGCACTGCCTTTGGGAGGGGACACTGCCAGGCCAGCCAGGCACATGGATACCGGGGCATGGGACACACTGAGGAGGCACTTATTGGGTGTCCCCCAGCCTGACCAGGTGCAATTGCTCCCCAGGTCCCCTCAGAGCACCTGGCCATGGCAGCACTCCCTGCACCCTGCCCAGGACAGCTCTCACCTCATACTCCCTCAGGAAGCCCATGTGGGACTTGGCTGCCTTCTGGGCGTAGTGCTCAGCAAAGCTTTTCAGTGGGATAGGGCAGGACCTGAGGAGAGAAACTGGGGGTGAGGGTGAAGTTGATCAAACTCAGCAGCACCCAGGCTGAGTCTGCAGCAGCGGGGCAGGGCTGTCAGCAGCCTTCACCCTGCAAAGGTGGGGGCCCTCGCAGGTCCCCTGCCCAGCTCTGGCTGGTGCCAACCTGCTCTGCCCTAGACAAAGGCAGGTCTCAGGTGTGGCACAGCCCAGGGCCCGCTCCCAAGATGCAGCAAGGACAAGGGCATCCTGTTCTGCATGAGGGAGGAGACAATTTGCCCATAAAGACAGGTATGTGACCTCCAGATGCAGCCTCAGAGACACCAAGGTGGGTGGGCAAAGCCGTGCCCAGCCTGACTCTGCTCCCACCTCTTGGCCTCTGTTAGAAGGGACATCCCAAGGCCACCCAGCTGCCCTGAGTCCCTTCAGTTTGAACCTATCTCTAGGGCATCCCTATGGGGTGGAAAGCCAGGGGCTGGTCAAAATGCATTCCCCAGGACAGTTCTGCAGCTCCTTGGCATTGGAGTAGCCCAGCAGACTGGCACTGAGGAGGATGTGGTCTCCCAAGCCCTCCCAGTGTGCCTAGTGACTCACTCCTAGTTCTGGGCTGGGCTCCCCGTGCTGCAGGGAGCAACCAGCCCTGGGTTGGCCCCTCTCAAATTTCCCTGTGGCATGGCTGGCTGGGCTTCCCTGCCCTTCTGTCCTGGAGTCAAGGATCAAGCTGAAGGTAGGATCCCAACTTGCTGCCTGGAGGGGCTGTGGGTCAGGGTGGGCAGAGTTGCAGGCAAAACACATCAGGCTCTTACCTCTCTGTCCCTGATAAACCCAGGAGTGGTTCCTCCAAAATCCTTTCCAGGATGCAGCTGTGCAAGAAAATATACTGGGACTGGAAAGTAAAGGGGGACAGCAGTGTAGAGCATTGCACCACGCAGAGAGCATGTCAAGTGGTCAGAGGGTGTCCTGCCTTCATGCCCTAAAAGCTCTACGTTCATGCCCAAAACGCTTCAGTCTCAGATCCCCCGGATCCTTCCACTGGGTCTGTCTGTCTGTCCTGAGGGGTCAAACTGACACCACGTCCCAACCCCGAGTACTGGAAATACTAGATGGGCTGTGGAGCATCACTGGCCAACAACACGGTGTGAGTTAAGAATTGCCTGCAAAGGTCCCAGCCCTGTTCCTGGGGCATTTCAGAGTCTCCCAGGAGGGTTCTGAGATGTTGCTGCTCTGTGTGTCTCTGCTGTGGGCCCAGCAGGACATGAAGCAGCTGGAGACTGAGCAATTTCCCCTCGAGTTGAACTTGTGCTTTGAGTGGCACCGTGACACAGTATCAGCCTGGGGACCAGTCTGGGGGTGCTGGGTCTGGCTGGTGAGCTCATCTGTCTGCCAGCCCTGCTAGCTTTTACACCGTGGAGCAAGGGGGCTGGGGAAAAAGTGAACAGAGATCTTACCAGAGTCTGAATCATCAGGTAACGGTTCATCCGCAGGGCGTAAACCACACCAAAAATGTCCACCATCTTCTCCTAAACCAACTCCAGCCGGTCCAGGGCAATGAAGGTGCCAGTGCGGCCCACCCCAGCACTGAGAGAAGCAGCAGCAAGGGTTAAACATTGCCTGACCCCACAGCTGATGGGCTCCCCTCCTGATGCACCCCAGGACACTGGTCCAAGCACCCCAGGGCACCAGTCCCAGCACAGCCTGTTGGTGCTGGCCATCTCCAGCTGCCCCATCCTCTGGGACCAGAGGACAGGCTGCAAGAGAACCTGCAATCCCCAACAGCCAAGCAGGAGACTCTACAGACCAGCTCGTCCTCCTGGGTCCTGCTTCCCTCCCAGTTTGTGCACAAGGAGGAGCCTTGCCCCTCATTCCCTCTCCCATCACCCCCTCCCACCACCCCCCCCCGGAGCAGAGCCTTGCCTGCAGTGCACGAGGGTCGGCCCCGCGTCCTTGGTGCTCTGGATGTGCTCCCGGACCAGGTCTCTGAAGGTCAGAATGGAAGTCGTGGACTCAGGGATCCCGTGGTCAGGCCACGCCGTGTAGTGCAGGTGGGACACGTGTCGCTCTGCCCGGAGACCCTCCTGCCAGGGGAAGGTTGAGATGGGTGTGCAGCCCCCCGGGACAGGGTCACCCTTGCACCCCGCAGCCCTGGGAGCACCCAGCGAGTTGGAAACACCTGGCTGAGGTGCAGGGCACAGCCCACACCAGCTCTGCTGCACTGTCTGGTGGGTCCTGCTCGGCTGTCCTCCCCCACAGCCCCTCTGCCATGGTGAGGCATGTGGAGGTGCTGGGAGGAGATCTAACAAGTAAACTCTATTTCTACCCCTTTCTACCCCAAGCTAATGCTGAGGAACTTGCCCTGGATGCTTCAGGTTGTGTCCCAGTGCAGGGATGTGGAAAAGAGAGAGCAAGGGTGGACAGCAGGGGTGACATGTTGGACAATTCAGTGTTACCAAGTCTGAAGTGAGAGACTGCTCCTCAGCAAACTGGATCTTCTTTGAAACCCGCCAACAGCAGGGAAAGGAAATTATGCTGCTGCCACTGAGGAAAAATGTCACTGCATCCCATGCAAGCCCCCAGCTCTTGAAAGGCCCCTGAGTCCTCTCAGGTCCTTACTCACGTGCCACAGTTTGAACTCGCGCATGGTCCACTCCTCGGAGCTGCTCTGCGTCAGCAGGTGGACACGGATCTGCCCGTAGGAGACTGGGGCAGATTCAGATGGCCAGTAATGATCACAGAGGACCTACAGCACAGGCAGAATGGGGTCCCAGTGAGAGTCCAGGTGCCCCTGGGTGACCTCCTGGCTCCTGGCGAGCAGCAGCTGTGTGGGGCTGCAGTCAGGGCAGGTCTTGAGGAGCAGGCAGAGGTGCTTCCCCTTCCAACTGGGAGCTTTACATAGCTTTTCCCCACATCCCCTTCATTTAGATCTCTAGAGAAGAGGACCTGTGTCGGTCTTATCAACCCTGGAAACTGGAGGAACAGTCCACATGGGGTGTTTTATCCAGAGGAAAGTTGTAATTTCAGAGGCTGCAAAAATACCTGAGGGTGACAGGCATGATTCCAACTAAACTCCCTGTCTACCCCTTCCTACTACAAGCTAAAGCAGAGCTGCCTACGTCAGCCTCTGCCTGCCCCAGACTGCCTGTTGGGGAAGCTCTGTGGCCCAAGCTCACCCTACAGCCATATCTGAGCAGGGGCTGGTGGAGGGCACGAACCCAGCCCCAGTCTCGGCTCACACAGCCAGGTCTGGGCACAGCTGGGGCTGATACGTAGAAGCCCGGTGGTGCCGACCTACCCGCCCGTTCTCCATGCACACTGTCAGCATGATGATGTTGCAGACGTTTTGCTCCCACACCAGCCTCCAGAAGTCATCTATTGTTTTCTTCAGGGGACCCTGGGTGGCAATGAACTCCCGGTGGGATGTGTAGCCCTGAGCAAGAGGCAGACAGGAGAAGTTGGCAAGTTGCGAAGGCAGGTGGATCCTGCCTGGTCTGCCTTTGCAGTACAGGGAGAAGTGCCCGTTGCCCTCAGCCCGTGCAGGCACAGCTCCCAGGCAGCTGACCTCAGAAGCAGCTGATTTCACAGGAAACATGTACTGCCCAGCACGTGCCCTCTAAATATCTGAAATAAAGATATGACCCCTGCAAACAGTTCTTCATTCATCCTAACCAGGGAAAGACAGATCTCAGTCTTTCTTGTGCTCCCCGGTCACTGCTGAAGGTAGGGTGAGCACGCAAGGTCTCGGGCTGCCGCGCTGCCTTTGCCCCAGGCATGCTCCGCGGATCCACACACCCACACGTGCTGAGTGCCCTGCCTGTTACCTGGGAAAGGCTCCTGGGTGGAGGACATGGGCACAGCTCCAGGGTTGTTCAAATGCAGCTGCACAGACCAGAAGGAGAAAGAGCAGGCAGACAGAGAAGGGCAGTAAGCTGGGAAATGATGGGAAGAGGACAGTCCTCGAGAAGAAAGCGGAAAGCCTCGCCAGTCCCCCTGCACTCACACCTCTGCATTCACAGCACTTGTCGGCTGATGATCTCCATCCACCCCTGCAAAAGGGCAACTATGCCTGACCCCCAGCTCCTTGCCAGCCCATGCCAGGTGTGGCTCAGCAGCAGCTCTAACCCACCAACCCTCGCAACCTCAATCCAGGCAGAGTTTCTCTGGTGGTGCCCACAGCCACGTCTCTGTGGGGAAGGCAAGAGGGCACTCACAGGCATGAAGTTGGCATTGATGTAGTCTGAGTGTGGATCCTCCCCCAGCTGACTCAGCTTGACCCGAGAGTGATCATCTGAAAGAGAAGACACGCATGTGACCCCCCACGGCAGCCCTTCCCTGAGGCTTGGCCATTCCTCTTCACCTGGGTAACTCCTCAGGAGGAGCTCCAGCTGGGACCCATCCTTGAGCCGAGCTCACCCAGCACCTGCCCAGCAGCCTCCTGAGGAGCTGAGGAGGATGGTTGCTCAGCCCTGGCTGGAGACCCTTGCGTCTCCAGCAGGTAAATGGAAACTGAGGCTCATTTCAAGACTCCTTCTTCTCCCAGAAGAGGAGCCAGGTGCTGTGAACCGTGCAGCGATGCAAGGTGAGCCCGTCCCTGTGCCTTGTGTGAGCTCCCACCCTGGATGCTGGGGGAAGGAGAGGGGGACAGCACTCACAAGGCAGCACGTGGGGATATCTGTTCTTGGAGACATTTGCTGGTAGTTCAGCCTCCACCTTTGGCTGCTCCTTCCCAACTTCCTTCAGCTCCTGTAGGACACGGGAAAAGATAAGCACAAATGTGTCTCTGCAGAGCTCCTGGCCAACCCATCTCCCTCCTCGTGGCCAGTGGCTCTGTCTGGGCAATAAAGAGGGTCGGTTGTGTGCAAGGGACTGCTCTAGTGCTCCTGCAGTACAGCCTGAGGTGGCTTTTCCAACAGTCCTGCTTCTACTTAAAAGAACACAAGCATAAGAGCAAGCACTGGGGGAAAAAACTGTCTTGGAAATCAGAAATCTACAAAGAAGCTCAGTGCATTTCGTGCTGAGAAGACAGGAACAGGTTGTGCTGCTTCTGCCTCTGCCCTCACTCAGAAGGCCAGAGAAGGGTGATCTGGGGAGGGTTTGAAGTCACTGATGGAACTCCCAAGGGTGCTGGCAGAAGAACAATTCAGAGTCTGCAGATGTTGGCAGTAGGAGCCAGTGAAGGTAGCCTGAGCTGGATTACACAGCCTGGCCCTATTGCTCTGAGAATACTCCTGGACCTTCCTTTTGGCTGCAGGCTCTTTTCTGACAGTGTCAAGGCGGATCTTATTGCAAGACCGCTCAGTATCTTTGCCTCCAGTCCAGGCCTGAGGTCCTTAGCTTTGTCTGTCAGCAGCTACAGACAGTGCTAGTTCACCTCACGCCACAGGCAACACATGTTTCTACCAGAACTTGAACAAAACAGGTTTTGAGCAAAGGAGCTGCCTGATCACTTGGTCCATCCAATCTGTGGCCTCCAGGACTGCCTAGTAGGGTGGCTGGATTTCTAGAGAGACGGGTTACTGTCTCTGGACATGAGGGGTCCATACAGACCACCCAACAGCTAGGGCATGAGCTACCTCGAGGGGAAATTAAGTCTCGTCTTGAGTCTCAACTCACCTCAAACTCCTGGAAAAAGGCGTGGTTAGCACTTGCTGTCTTCATCTCATAGTACTGCTTGAAGTTCTGTATGGGAACTGGCCGATGGACGTTTCTGCATGAAATGAAGTCCAGAGGAAAACTTGCCTTAACTATTTGGAGGTCTGGCAGGCCAGTCAGGTGGCCAATGAGTCAGCCCAGCCTTGAGACCTGCAGTACCTGGATGGACACACACAGGGGTGGTTTATAGCTTACATCATTACCCAGGGAAGTGGGTCCAACAGAGCATTGTTTAAGCATTGGGAGGGATTTCAGGATGATGACGATATTCTCCTACTGCAGAAGCCTTGCAGAGGAGATGTGGACAATGCATTGACTTGGAATGGAGCTGGGCAATAAATACTGAACATGGGAAAGCCTAAGATTTAAAAAATAACTGAAGGAGCGGAGACAGAATTGTTTTTTTCCTGAGTCAAAGTATGATAAAGGAAGTAGGCAAAGGACTCTGGGACCTGCAGAGAATCATAGAATCATAGAATGATTTGGGTTGGAAGGGACTTCAGAGATCACCTAGTTCCATTCCCCCTGCCATGGCAGGGACTTCTCCCACTAGATCAGGTTGCTCAAGGCTCCATCCAGCCTGGCCTTGAACACTTCCAGGGATGGAGCAGCCACAACCTCCCTGGGCAACCTGTGCTAGTGCCTCACCACCCGCATGGTCAAGATCTAGATCTTTCTTAGATCTAGTCTGAACCTATGCTCTTCCAGCTTCCACCCATTACTCCCCGTCCTTTCACTGCAGGCCCTTGTAAGCAGTCCCTGCCCAGCCTTCCTGTAGCCCCTTTGGGCACTGGGAGCCCTCTGTAAGGTCTCCTTGGAGTCTTCTCTTTCGAAGGCTGATTAAGCCCAACTCTCTCAGCCTGTCCTCATAGGAGAGGTGCTCCAGCCCTCTGACCATCTTAGTAGCCCTCCTCTGGAC